TGCGTTAGAAAATCGCTAAAACACAACGAGCTTGTTATTTAATTCGAAAATTCATGTTTTGTGTTCATCGTTTCTAAATATAATGAGATGGAATCAACTATGACCAATTTAGATGCTAGAAGCATCATCAAATGAACATTCAGACCGAGTACTGATTCTCAGAATTTTAATAATGGATTTATTCTATTCTGTCTCGAAGAAATAGAGAGAAATTTCACAATTGATAAAGCTTTTATGTCCGATCGTAAAACGTAGACTTCGTTATTTAAATGTCTAGAAAACATTCTGCTTTTTTGATTGATAGAACTATACAAAAAAATATTTTTGCACTAACGAATATATTTTGAGCCAGATAATAATTTTTGTTCGACAATCACTAAAATATGGACCAGAAGGTGCGTGTTATCTGATGCACAACGTATGATACTGATGAGACAAACCGAGTCTTGAAACTTTTGTAAAATTAATATATATATATATATATATATATATATATATATATATATATATAGATGTACATATATAAAACAAATATTTATAAATATCTAAGAAGTTTATTTTGGTACAGTCTAAAACTCACAAGATATTTTTAGTTTCTAAGACTTTCTTCAAACGTAAAGCTTATGTAAATCGTGCATGGATAAACATATAATATATAAATATATTGATTTTAATTAATGTTTACATCAAAATCAAATCTCATCTCGACCTTGACTAATTAAGTTATATTCTGGAAATGTATCTTCTGTATCGGCCTTGTCGTTATTAATAAACTCCAATTAAGTTAAATAACAGGGCGAAGGAAGAAATCAACGTGGTAATTTGTTATCGAGTTGGAAAATTATTAATTAATTGGTTTGTTGAAGAGAATTTCTCAGAATTCTGCAACTTGTTGGATCATCACAGTATGTGTACTAGCTTATTTTCAATAGACCTGATCAAATAAATTTCATAATTTGGCTGGAGGATTTAATTGTTTTGGATAAACTTTTTTGTAGACATTTTCTGCATGATCTAAACTATATTTTCGAGATAAAATACTGCCCTTTTTCAAAATTAGTGTATGAAATAAAAAAATGTTTCATCAGTATTGGAGAAATTATAACAATAAAAACATATTAATAATAGACAGGCATATTGTTAGGTTGCCTTCTGAAAAGCGATGTTGTCAAGAAGAATTTTCATGAATGTAGCTTAAAAAATTTGAAAAAAAAAATTATCACCTAATTGTTATTAAAATTGCTAAGATGTATTGTTCTTAAATAATTAATTATTACTGTCCATATATGTTAAAGTCACTCAACTCAGAAGCAGTTCCACAGTACAATGACATTCAAATTTAAAATCTTCACACTTTACTCTTAAATATTGACTCTTTCATAACAATGATATAAGTATACATAAATTACATGCTGTGACAATCATTTCATTGTTTCGTACTCTAAAAAAGCAAACGTTCCAAAAGTTATTTTTATACAACTGAGTTATTTTTGCACGCCAAATTTCTTTGGTGTTGAGCTATAAGAAAAAATAAGTTATACTGGCAATAAAAGCGGCATCTTTGTATGAAGATTAGTCTGACAAAAAATCACAACGGTAGTAATAAAAGTAATTAGTAAGAATTAAAAAAATGTATATATGGCAATATAAAAAAGATTATATATATTCTTGTTTCATTTTTGAGTTAAGAAACATTATTGTTCCAAGTGTACAAGAGAAACAAAAATCTGAGAACTTTTGTATTCGTTTGTAGAAATAATGAAATTTATTTTATTAGTAAAAATTTCATTTATATGACATACTGAATATTATATGTTACCATGCCTATTATAACTCTATTAAAATGTCTATAATTGTGGGTTGTTGTAAACATATATGAGCAGATCACATTACCTTTGTATCAAAACCTATTCATTAAAACACTGTAATTTGAATATTTTAAATTTATTCGCATCAACTGTATATAATACTTCAAATTTACTTTGCTTGATTTTACATTATGGCACTATTTTTCATTTCAGTTATTAAAAAATATTATAGTAAAATTTCGCTTTTTGATGTGATAAGTCAATCAAGTTAATTAGAAAAGGGTTTGGAATTAGCAAAAACATTAACAGTCTACAAAACTTACGTAGTTTTGTATAAAAAATGTTAAAATTCATTTAAATCACTGAATAATATCTAGAACTACATACTGTATAAAATATAAAGCACGATACTTTCGCTGAGCGGCGGCGACTCCTTTGGTTTTAACTATTCGATATTCGGACGAATGTAAGTTCGATGGAACTCCTAAATTAACCATATATCTACTAATAGTGATATCTATTTTCACATGAAAATGGAGATGAAAATATTTTTCCCAGTCAAAATAGTATTTCCTGGTATTGCTGCTTTAAGAAGGTATTCTAGTGCAAAAATTTAAAAAAGTTTTTTTTTTCATATTTTCAAAGTTTAACTATTAAAGAATATGTGTGCGTGATGATATTTTTAAATTCAAATTATTTTTGAAGATACCTAATATACGATACTGTTTCACCAAGATAATTGTTTTCTGGTTCCTTTCTTTTGGAAACTCTAATGCCTTTTTCTCAAAATTGTCTTTTTCAATACAATACCTAATATTTCTCAAGTTCTATACACTTAAAATTTTCAGAAAATTTTCTTTATAGACTTCTCTTAAGCATACACTAGTCATTCCCTATTCCAATTTATATTATATTAAAAAAATCGAGAAACTCAAAAAAGAAAAGAAGAAAAATTGTCTTTTTGTGCAAACATTCGTCATTTTGCAAAAAAATACCTTAATCTTAGTACATGTCATTGCAACATAATTCCAAAATTAGATTTTTTTTGTTTATGTCGGATTACCAAGAGGGTTGCAATCATGGACACAGTCAATTTTGAGACCAATCACTTCAATGGCCATGTTTAAAATTAGTAACTATTTTCACATTGTCCTGTACTTTTGTAACACACTAGAATACCCCCTTCAGTTAAAAATATATTGCCTCTATTCAAAAAATGCTAATAAAAGTCAATATCAAATAAATATAACAAAATTTTGGGATGTTGCCTCCTAAGAAGTATCAAAAAAGTTGCATTGTATGCATATAAATATACATCATAGGCTAAGGATATTACGTAGTAAGAGTTTGGGAAACTTTCAAGTGCAAAATCTTTTTATCATGTCGGTCCCATAAGAATCTAATTCAAAACACACGTGAATCACATGTTTGGTTTGCTGAGCAACGAGGTCGTCCACCGCCGTTTTCTCTATGTTATGTTTCGATTCTGTGATCTTGTACCGGAACATATATGGCAAAAGTGTAATAACAATATTCGACATTCGATTGCGAACCGGAAAGCACATCCGTTGAAAACATAACAAACCGAACTCTACTATATAAACCGTTAAGTAAAACATACGATAGAAATATTATTCTGTATCGAGAATTTACCATATGCATCTCTGGACATCCGTTGATATCATACACCAAAAATTCAAAAATGTGCTAGCAAGTACATTTATAAACAAATTTAACATTTTATATTCATAGCATCAAGGTTCTTTTGGATTTCAATTTTGTGAACTGTTTCGCCAAAAATCTCGACTAATTTCTAAATCAACTTTTTCCCCCAGAAATGTTTGTTTTTCAAAAACAGGTTTCAAAAACCGGTTTTTGACTAAAATTATGGAATTCGAAAACCGGGTTTTTAGTGAAAAAAGTCGGTTTTCACTGTATAAATAAAAAATGACAAATATAGCCGAATATAAAAGATAGATGAAAGTGTTTTGATTCTTAAAATCATATCGGTTCAATAGCATTTAACCTTAAACAGAAGAAGTAACTTACTCTACTCAACCTTAAAAAAAAGGTTTTAAACCCTAGAAGCCACAAATAAAAGAATAAAAAGCTTAGAATTATTATATCGGGCTTTAAAAACAATTAAGCATAATTTGGTCGCAAGTATGAGAGTATTTTCTATTTCAGTAGCAATTCGATATACGTTCTCATTTTTTTGAAATCATTATTTATTAAACAAAAAAAAACAATTAGAATGTTTAAAATTAATTAATTAAAATGCTCAGAACAGGCAATACCGAAGTTTAGCTTAATTGATCTTAAAACTAAAATTGATATTAACAAGTATGTATCAACATGTATCTATTTTTTTTATTTAAAAATGTATTATTTTTATTTATTCGAAAACTTTTCTTTCACTATCATAATTATATTTTCATTCTTATATATGAAAATGATGCATGAATAACGAATAATTATTTTCTAAGTTATTCAATCAAGATAAACTATTATTTTTTTTAATTCTACTAATTAAAAATAAAATAATTTTGTTTACTATCCATAAAATTGAGCTTTAAATAAATTCAGTCAAATACTGCTCTAAAACACACAAAATTTACGAATAAATTACAGAATATTCGAGCAAAAATTTATTTTCTATATAAAATTCGAAAACCGGTTAAAACCGGTTTTTTAGCAAAATTAAAATTCGAAAACCGGTTTTCTGAAATATCAGTTTTTGTATAAACCCTAATGCACATATTAAACATAAAAAATATGGCAAGATTTCAATTTCGTGAACTATTATGCATTATGAATATGACTTCTTTGTATGGAATGGAGTAATTTTTTCTTACTTAAATTGACCATTATCTATTTCCTTCTTGAAACTTCCATCAATTCATTAAACCCTTAGCGATCGAACAATAAAAATGATTTCAAAGTACTATAACTATTCAAAGTTTTATTTTCTATGATAGATGATATAAACCAGAGACACAAGAATAAAAAGTTTATACGATTGTTTTGCATTCGAAGTCGGAAGTATTAACATAAATATAATAAAAGTACAACGACCGCATAAAAGCCCTTTAGGTAAAAGACATCAAAAACAAAAAACACGACTATGATCAATAGAACTGAAGGTTATTCTCGTAATAAATTTACCTCAACAAAACATGTATCTGAACTTACCTATAGCAAAAACTGTGATACGATCGAAACTGAAGGGACCATGAGAAACTTCGGCAGAGAATTATATGTTCCACCTGAAAATAGAAATATATAGAATATAATTTATGGAAAAATATAACATGCTTTTAAAAGCATGTAAAATCTATGTTAGTAATATTTGTAATTATGATTTTAAAAATTATAATTGAAATGAGTATTGAATTATAAATTTTAGTAATATTAGAATTATTTTAATGCTATCAACAAACTGAAAAAAGAAAAAGAGAATCGAATTCAATAAGAATCGAATGTTTTTGTATCATTAAAATCGGTTGATCTGTGCTCCCGAAAACGTGAACAAATTTTAGCCACACACACATACACAGACACACACATACATACGCACGTCCATTTTTTATAAAGTATGCCAAAACGTTCAGAAACTTTTAAAACGTGAAGATATGCAAGAATTTTCATTTCTAATATTTAGACGATTACATTAACTTTCACTACGTGGAATTGATATTCATATACAATACGACTAAAATAACTATTTTATAATGAAATCTGAAAATGATTTTTTCACAAACTCGAAAAAGAGCACAAATTTCAACTTCTTGATGAATAATCTTTTATCCAAATGCCCTCATAAAAATGTTAATTACCTACAATTCTCACCAATTTGATAGAACTCACAAGTAATGTTTACAAATTTATAGCACTTTGACAACTTATTTAATATTGAAATATTAATATGTATTAATATAATACTCCAAATAGATAGATCCCTGGGAGTATCTATTATAATTTGACTTTGAAAAAAGTATTTATTATTATTTAATTTAAATAGATTTTATTGCTGGTATTTATGACAATACGCGATATAGATCATCTATTATATTTAAACAAATTAATACATCATAGAACTGCTAATAATTAAATTATTTCATGTTATGTGAAGAAGTTATATAATGACTTTTTACCAAATAAATTTTAATTTTCGTGCAGAAAGAAACAAAAACTCAAACTAATGGAAAGAAATTTATAATCCTAATATGTATGAATAACATCTTAAAGCTTTTATGTAAAATTGACATATATTGTTGGATAGATACAGTAAATAATAGATAACCAACCAGCAGCATTGAAGATCAAGATTTTCTATAAGAAGGTCAAAATAAAATTTATTTAAAAATCTAATCTGAAACAATTCAAACATCAAGGAAAAGGTCACAACATTTTTCAATGCTTTAATTCTGTGATCTGTTAAAACAAAACAACGAGCAGAAATTGTTAACAATATACATGAACAACAAAGCATTATGATTAGAAATTAGTAGTAGGAGGACGGTTGTGCTAGGGTACGGTAATGAGAATCTGATTTTGAGATAGGGTCCAAAAAAAGAAAGATGAATGATGTTTGTACAAACAACAAATTTATAACAAATGTATTCTAAGTCGATAAATGGATATTAATTTGGAAATATGAACAAACAACACTCTTTTTTGCACTAATTTATTAAATAATGATTTTCACAAACGTTTCGAGACTAGGTTTGTCTCATCATTAGTGTGTTATAATTTAAAATTTAAAATATGGAAACCTAAATTAGCATTATATGTTATCCGTTACAAGTCGTTCGATATATTGTCCTCTGCCCCATCAACCATCGTCGGTGTCCGAATTCTCTATTCAATTTCAAGTGGTTTTCAAATAGTTAGTCACGCAATATCAGATAGGAAAGGAAGTATTAGGGTCCAGTTGAAAAATAGATGTCGTTAGGAGAAAAAATATTCTATGAAATAAGACGGTTTGTTTATAAAATTAGTTTTAAAATATTATATTAAAAATATATGTACATGTATATATATATATATATATATATATATACATACTTATATATATATAAATGTATACCCATAGTACAAAACATCGCATATACAAATACCTATATACCCACAACATACACATACATATATAAATACACATATATATACATACACATAAATTTATATTATATATTTATATTATATATTTATATTATATATATATATATATATATATATATATATTATTGAACAAATTTATATTATTGCATTGAGTCAGCTGGTGAATTAACAAAATTACTGCTGATCAAAGAATGTGTCACAACCGAACCCAGTCTTCCGTACTAGGAAACGGCAAACACATAAAATTTATTTGAAATTTTTTGAAAGACAGTCATTACAAATACAGTTTTCTGTTTAGCATTAATGAAAATTATTTAAAAATCTTTAAAAAGAGTAGAGTTAAAAAATCAACAAAATAAGGTAAACATCACCCACAGACCATTTTCGCGAGCGCATCTTCTATTTACATAACGTTCTATAAGAAAATAAACCGTGCATAAATTTGCTTAGCCCAAAGGAACGCGACGTAAATCAAATTACCGGAGTCGCAGAGGGACAACAAAAGCGAAGGTAAAATGGTAAAATTTGCGTGAATGCTACGAGTACATCGCAACAGTACTTCGTCACAGTTCCAATGACAAAGTATAGTGTTATGAATACCGTAATATGAATGCCATTATGTTATATTGTGATGTGTTCGCTTTTGCTATACGGAACGATATTAGATTATAGCGTATGCGGAGTCGACGTAAATCGTATTTAGGAAAAGCGCCAGTACCCGGCGTTAGAGGCGGCGACTGGTGTGGTGACAGCCTGGTGTATTGGCTCGATCCTGGGCACATGGCAATTCGATCGCACCGCACAAATAATGGACTTTACATTTCGTGTGAAGTGTAAATTTTTGATAAATGGCCAAAATTCATTCAATAAATCTGTCTATACATGAAACTAATTGTAAAAAATGAATGGCCATAACGCGAGTTATTTTGGTACATATGTGCATACTACATACTAGCTGAAACCTGACATATTATATTATTAACTTCCCGTAGGGTAAATTATTGTAATCGTCCAAAAATCGAAATTGAAAATTTTTGCATTTCTCGACGTTTTGAAGGTTTCTGAACATTTTGGCATACCTCAGAAAAAATGGATGTGTGTGTGTATGTATGTATGGATACAATTTTCCAGTCACGTTTTCGGGCGCACGGGTCAACCGATTTAAATGGTTCAGAAAACATTCGATTCCTATTGATAGGGAGATGTGCTGATTAGTTTTTGGCAAAGGCAGGTCCAGCAGTTACGGCGATAAAGAGCAAAGAGAGCAGAAAATAAAAATCGAGTTTTTGAGAGAACGGAGCATCCGATTTGAATGATCTAAAAGCATTCAATTTGTAATGATTGGGAGAAGAGGTGATTAGTTTTTGGCGAAGGCAGGTCCAGCCATTTCGAAGATACAAAGCTAAATGTACAAAAAATGGCAGTTTTTGAGAGAACTAAGCGTCCGATTTAAATTATTCAAAGAACTTTCTGCTTGTTTTGACAAAATAATTGATATTGGAAAAAAAATTGTTTCAAATTTTTTTTTCAATTTAAAAAAAAAATTTTTTTTTTCTATATCGAAAATAATTCAGATTTTAATTTTAATTCTGACTAAAGTTCTAATATACTTTAAACAAATAATTTCAACTTTGCAATTCAGTTTATATAATTCTTATAAATAGTAGACAATGTTACAATTTTTATAATAATCTATTTGAAAACATTTAATATTCCTCGAACATTTCGTTACGGTACGGGAAGTTCCAGCAATTTGCTTTAAGGCACGATGCCATACACCCCACTAGTTTATGTATTTATTTTATTACATAGCTCTCAGAGTAGTTCTAGAAGGACCTCAAAATACAGTTACTGAAATACAATTATAATAATCAAAACTAAAAATTCTTTCATACCTTTATGTTCTAAAGATTTCTAAGATTAATTTCTAATTACTAGATTTCGGCATACCCCAAAAAATAAACGTGTGTGTATGTAACGTAGAATACATTGTTTCTTCCATGTTTTTGGGAGTACGGAAAAAACATTCGATTTCTATTGATAAGGAGACGTGGTAAGTAGTTTTAGGCAAAAGTTGGTCCAGCAGTTTCGGAAATAAGGTGCAAGGAGTGCAAAAAAGAGAAATTAAAAAATTAAAGAAAGTTTATTGAAGCATTTGAGCATCCGATTTAAATGATTCAAAATGCATTTAACTTGTATTGATGAAATAAAGAATTAATTTAATTTTTGTAAAGGTAGGTTAAGTCGTTTCGGAGATCCAGACAAAAAAGTTTAAAAAAAAATAGCATTCAAATTTATGGCAGTATGAACCGCCATCAAAACTTTCAACAAATTTCAAAATTTTCAATATTTCTAACAAACAGTTGGAATATTGAAAATTGAAACAGTTTAATTTTTTTTCAATATTCAAATTTTTCAAATGTTTTCAATTTTTTCAAATGTTTTGCAAATTTTCAAAAATGTTCAATAAAAATCAAAATTCTCAAAAAAATCTAATTTTTCTTTTCTGAGTTTTGAAACTTTTAAATTAAGGTACATGAAGTGCCAGTAATTTGCATTAAGTCACGATGCCATGCACCACTAGCTTTTTTTTATATATATATAGATATATCTCAAAATATATATTCTCGTATTAAAAAATACATTGTTGATTAATTTCAATTTGTTGTACCAAACGGGTGCATAATAATAATTTAAACCAAATAATTGATTAACATGTCTTAATATGTATATTTCTTAAATTATTAGAAGGCAATATAAAATAAGTCCATGGGAAATCATTGATTTGAATGAATAATTTATATTGCTGGTAAAATGTTTACTGCCATTCAAGTAAGTGAATTCTTCTAAAAATGCTGCTCCTCCAAGTTAATACAGCTTGTATTCATAACAAATTTCTGATACCATCTACAAACATTCATGAAAAATTCAAATCAAAAACATTATACAATTCGAAGCTAACACGGCGTTTCCAGTTCCCACGAGATGTTAAACGCCAATTTTTTTTTAAACTTTGTCATTCCGTCCATTTATTTCCATTTCAGAGGTAAATATATATATTTATTATCGAGTGTCGCCGATCTGTTCCTGGATCGTCTTCTTGGCGTGATAATGGTGGGACGTAAGATGTTACTCGCAGTCACGT